GATGTGACAAAGTCAAACCTGGTGTGGATTTACACCCGGCAAGGGGATAAGCTGAAACAAAGAATGAATTAATTCAAGTATGGAGCATACAGTGTGCATTGTGTGATAGGAAAGTATCATGAGTTCCCCTCCGGCCTCACAGCTACATACCAGCCTGGATCAAAATAATTCTCTTAAAACTTTAAGCAGTGATCCATTGAAAGTATCCAGTGAAAATCCCAGGATTCCCACAAGATACACGCCAAAGGCTTGGCAGTGAAGAGTTCATGCTTCATCCTTGGCAATGGATCCTCTTTGCAATGAAGCTGAAGTTAATCACATTGTTCATGAGGGTGTTGAACACGTTAGTGTCTTATATTTCTTTTCCAAAACCTCCTTGGCCAGTGTAACTGGCTGCTCTTACTGATTATGCTTTCTGATGCAGAGGCAGCAGTGTTTTCAGTAGTGATCTGTTCTGTATTGTGCACTGTTCTCTCGAATGCTTTGAGGTAAATGTTTTTTTTTTTGTGGAAGATATCCTTGACTTGTTTTCTTAGTACAGTGTGAAGTGCTCGGTATGACTTGTCCTTTTATTTATTTTTCCCTGGTTCTTTTTCAGTGAGTATTAAATATTTAGATGCTAACGTTTTTGGAAGTGGCTGCTGAAACAGATTGACTTTCCTTACTCAATCCCCTTCAAAGTGAAACACGAGTCCCTTTTTTTATTCAGCCCAGATGGTATGCTGCTTAAAGTGAGCAATGTGTTGCAGTAAAAATGGACTACTTCTTTCCCTTTCTTTCATTCCTCCTTTACTTAACTGAACGCATCCGTGTAGCTCATATTTGGGTTGAATTCAAAATTAATCAAAGAGGCTGCAGGGTAAATACGTCAACTATTGGAAAGCCAGCTCTGCCATACTGAAGGAATTTCTGCCCAGCCAACAGGCGGTATAGCAAGTTGGCTGCATAAAACCTGACGTCTGTATGGACCTTATTAGAAAAAATGGACAAGATGATCTAGTTCGGTCCTCTCCATGTCTGCCTTGTGCGTGTCTGTAACACGGCTCCTCCTCATGTGCGTGCACAGAGGCCCCCTGAGCAGCAGGCTGCGTGCTGAGCAGGCAGGAACATCACATTCCTGAGGGTTGGGAGGTGATGACCTCACTGAGGATTTCTTTAAGGGTTTTAACATCTGATAGAGGAGACTTGCAAGGTGAAGGAAGCAAAAAGAGCAATATGATTTAAAATGGTTCCACGTGTGTAATTGTTTTGACAGTTCTTTATCCACCAATGGATTTTTTGGAGGTGGAGTAATGCACGTAACAAGTTTCTAGACCCGTTCACTATGACTCTCAAATTGCTGTCTGTAACCTGCAACTCTCTTCCAGCAGCTGATGAAGGTCATGTTTTAAGAGAAATAGCTGTTGCTTTGAAATCGGATTGAGTCAAAGTTCCATGTTCCCATTTTGCAGCATAGCTTGCGTAGGGCTGTCGGCAAGTAACTTGATCTACCAGTATCTTTTGTTTCCTGTTTGGCAAAAAGGTTAGTAATACATCCTTGCTTTGGAAGAACATTGAGGATTAATTTATTGTATGGCAAAGGAAATCCTAAAAACAAACAATGTACTGGGTAACAAATAAAATTTGGTATCTGTTCCTGGAGTGTTGCGTCAATTTAGTAGGGTAGAAGTATAGCATTTATTTAAAGGAGTTGTTAAACGTAACAGGGACTCAATAGCTTTTTTTTGAGGGTTTATTTCTTGGTTTGTGTTTTTTTTGCTTTTTGAAACTCTAAAAATTTCTTAAATTATTTGGCTTGGTCTAAATTTTTTCATTAAAGAAGTGTGGAGATCATGGCTAAAACTTTTCAGGCAAGATAAGAGCAGTAGATTTGATAGGAGCTGAACTTTGGTTATTCTCTACAGGAGGTGCTACGGTACATGAAATGTTACCATGTTTTCTCAGGAACACTGTGATGCTTAGTGGGGAGAAAACAGTTCTGTAGTTAGGGCAGGTTAGGCAGAACCTGATGCTGGTTCTTAGCTAGCAACTTGCCCAAGTCTAGAAGAAATCTAAGTGTTGACAGCAGGATTTTTCATTTTGAATCGGTGCAGCTTCCATGTGGAAGTGGAGCAGCTTGAATGAGAGATGTAGGTATGAGGTTAGACAAGAAGCTAGCACAGAGCAACAGAGAGAGATGCCATGAGAATGACACCTGATTGATGTTTCTGTCTAAACGTACTGCCTCGGTGCTTAGGTTCTGAGAGAGCAAAAGCCTCGGTAATTCCTGGTTCTCTTGTCAAGCTTGAAATAACTCCATTTTACATCAGAGATTTATGCTTAGCCAGGACATTTCAGTTTTGTAATATTTGAAAACTTGTAAATCCTCTCTAATAAAAGACAACTACCAGGAAAGTCTTCCAGTGGTACCATACTGACCTGAAAGCTATTTGTTGGGGGGTGTGTGGAGAAAGGAGTTAGGCTCTACTGTTAAAGCTCTTGGATGCTTCATAACAAACTTGAGAACGTGGCATATTGGCTGTGCCTTTACATTGCAAAAAATATCTCATCTCTTTCATGTCTTGATCTGGTGATGGCATGACATAGTTTGTAATACTGTGGTAGGTTTTCTCCAGTTGGAGGCGGAGGGATTATTAGTGCATTGGGAGTTACGCTAATAGAAGGTTGTGTAACGCTGATGGTTTCACCCTCTGTAGCTGTTTGAGAGTAGCGATTTTAGTTTGGTGATTACTTACCAGGTACAGGTCGACGATACGAAGACTGATCTGAATGTGTTCAATCACTGGTTTAAGGAAAAAACCCACCACAAAAAAAGCAACTAAAAAACCCCCACCCTTGCTGATTGAACACAGAACTGCAGAACTTGGTTGTGATGCTGTAAGGCTGCACTAGCCCCAGGGGTGGTTATTGACAGCGCCGTATCTGTTCAGTGTTTCATGGCAGGACTAGCCAAGGACAAACCATTGCTGATTTAGATTTAGGGACTCAGGCATGAAGTAGAGTTGAGTACAGAGTTTCCCTGGGAGCAGTGAAGGCCTGCCTGAGTGGGCTGCAGCTGAGCCGCTTCTAGCGTGCTGCTCTAGGTTTTAGCCTTTTCCGCTCGCAGTGCAGAGAGCAAAGCCGTTCTTTCTTGATCAGAAGAGCAGTGATGCAGGGGATGAAATTGAGGCTTGAATGAAACTGCTAAAAGCAAAAACACATCAAATCGCCAGCTGCATAGCCTGGGCTTGCTTTTTTCTGGTTGTCACTTTCTTTAAGGTGCCGCAGCAGGAGAGTTACCCAGGTGGGCAGGTGGATCTGGGTGTGTGGCCAGTGGCTGGGACTACGCCATCTGCCTCAGAAGACCTTATTTCTAGCTTTTTCTGAACTACCTTGTCTTTTGACAGCTTAGGGCAAATTTCCATTAAGTTATCTGCTCTGTGCTGGCAGATTCTTAAAGCATCCCCTGGAGAATCAGCCATTTGCAAGAAATAACATTTGAGAGGAAATACATTGTTTGGGACAGACATAGGCATGAAAAAATACTTCCCTGAAGCATTCCTATCATGTGTCTTTTGAAACAATGATGTAAAACTTAGCAGTTTTGCCTGTGTCAGGGATGGAGCATTTTGCTACAGTGCGAGGGAGGAAGGGAACCATCTGCATTTGGCCGATTCAGGAGTTTCTGGAAATCCTCGTGCTTAGACCTGTCTTTTTGGCAGCTGAGTTCTCCAAAGTTGCCTGTTACACACCAGGTTCCTCCCTGAGACAGCAGGAATGAGCTGGGAAAGGGTCTTCCCTGAAACTGCTGATCCTGGCAGCTGTTATCTTGCTCTGTCCTGTGCAGCATGCAATAGTGGGGCACTAACCATGCTGTGTTTATTGTGCTTCTCCTTGTGACTGGAGCTCAGGCCTTCCCTGGGAGAGGAAGGAGGAGGACTCCAGCAGGAGCAGGAAGCAAGCTGGTGTAGGGTGGGCAATGGAGGGAATGGTCTGCAGCTCTGCCACTCCCCCAGGGTTCCAAAAGTCATGCAATGATCCTCAAAATAGGGAAATGATAGATAAATTATTAAGCTGTGCATCAGCCTTATTTGTTCTTCCTGGCTTTGAACCATGAAGATATGTGGGCAGGAAGGAGGGGCATATTTTTGTGATGCCTCCACCCTTAGGTGGGAGGGTTTGTATTTCTGTTTTTTGCCTGGTCAAGTGCATGTGAACATGACAGAGGGAGAGGAGGGGAAGAATATGCTTTCCCTCATCCTCTGGCTTGCTTGCAGCTCCCCCTCAGCTTGACGACATGCCATTTTGGTGCTTATTAAAACCATTGAGTGTCATTATCTTCCTTCCCTGAAGTTTGTGTTTCTGTGATATCTACATTCCAAAAACAATGCACAAAGTGGGAGACAGATTAAAATGAGTGACTAGAGATGTGTTTAACCTTGAGGGCAAAACTCTAGGGTTCCCTCCCACACTGTTCTCTTGATCTCCTGCATCCTGCTACTAACCCCCCTCCGCTTGGCAGACTAAGGTGTGCCAACTGCCTTACTAGCCTGTGGACAGGTGTGTGCCAGGGGACTATCTTAACACCAAGAAGCTCAATTCTAACTTGGATCAGCAGCACTATGTTTAAAACTTAATTGAAAACCTCGTATGAATTAGTCAATGGGTTACCTAGTTCCTACCCCGCGGATAACAACAGCAACAAAAAAATACTCTGCAAGCTAAGTACTGATCTGACAAAAACACGGGAGTATGAAGTGAGTTCTTGTAGCCTCATCTGTTTTAGTTGTGTTTAGACTGACCCTGTGAAAGAGAGATTTATTTTTTTTTTAACAAACTTTACTTTGACCTGCAGATACATAGAGGGCTGCGTGTATTCAGGATACTGATAGAATAATGACAAAATAACCAGGGTCAAGATCCATTTATCTCATGTTCATTCAACCACTGATAAACAGTGACTGCTTTTGCTGCCTTTTTTAAAATCACCTGTAAACTTTTCTGTTCTTTTTTTGTTTCAGAGAGCCAACTGTTGCCTGGGAATAACTTTACAAATGAATGCAACATTCCTGGAAACTTCATGTGCAGTAATGGGCGCTGTATCCCAGGAGCCTGGCAGTGTGATGGGCTGCCGGACTGCTTTGATGACAGTGATGAGAAGGAATGTCGTAAGTGACCATTGCAATGACCTTAACATGCTTAATATCATGAGGCTTGGCTAGGTAGTGTTACGGGTGTGTTATGTAGCGTATTTTAGGTAAGTAACAAAGCTACTGCCAGTTTCTTAATTTAGCTATTGTTAGAAAAAATGTATAGCCTTTCTTATTATTTGGGATCTTTAAGGTTCTTCAAATTGTCCAATTTTAATACAGCACTTGGTAGTAGGTACCTAAACCCCTATTCACAGGTGGATACATTGAGACAGACTTGACTTATGATTCTTCCAGTGGAAGAGTGATGCTCTGTGTTTTTTAGGGATCCTGTGTATACTGCTTCAGCACACTGGCCTAGTGCTGTGAGTTGACCACTACCATCAAGATTAGTTCCTTTAATTTCAAAATTGATGACTGCATCCTGTTATTTTTGTTCTCTTCTGTCAAAATGTAATAATTCTTAACCCTTTTGTGAGAAACGCTCGCTCACGGATAAAAATGTAGAGAGGAAAAAGTCTTCGAAGCAAAGATAAAAGTTTATTCAGGATCAAAATGAACGAGTCAGCTGAGCTGGGTGCCTCTCAAAAAGAGCACACTTAGCTACAAAACTTTCAGGTATTTATGTCTTGTCCCCTTTTCCCATTGGTTAGGTACTTTAGGGCACACATTCTTTCGTGACCCATTAGCCTATCAAACTTGATTGACACTTTTCTCCTTTTAAGGAGTTGTTTTGCTAAGTTACACAGCTCTGCTTGTGCCATCGACATACAAAATGGCTGCTCATAACCCTGCTTGTGTCGTCGACATACAAAATGGCTGAAGCAAAACAATTCCATCTCTCACACCTTTGAAACTTAATACTAACTTTCTGGAAAACAGACCGAATTAATTGGCTGGTATCGTTTACATGTTTTAATCCTCTCTACAGAACTCCCAGTTCTAGAGAGCTAAAAAATGTCTGATCTGGTTCTCCTCTGTGATTTCATCTTTTTCTTATCATTGATTAATCTTTAGTTAATGTTATTCAGCCATTAGTTGGCATGAAACTTTCTAGCCTACATGTTTTACCCAGACAGCAAGATTATGCTGCAGCATAACACTATGATTTGAAACCCGGCTGGGAGTGAAAAAAAACTCAAATTTCATGTGATTCCAGAGGAACTGAGAAATTTACAAGAAGTAAGTTACTGCTTTTTGTCTAACAAATGTTGCTCCTTTACATTTATACTTTATGGGGGTTTTCATTAAACTTAAACCGAATTATAGGAAACTTACCTTTCCCAGGACGCTTCCAAGACATCATTAGCTTTGCTTATGGAGAAAAAATAGCTTCTTCCAAATTAACTGATTAGAAACGTGCAATTGCAGCCCAGAAGGCCAACCGTGTCCTGGGCTGCATCAAAAGAAGCATGGCCAGCAGGCCAAGGGAGGTGATTCTGCCCCTCTACTCCGCTCTCGTGAGACCCCACCTGGAGTACTGCATGGAGTCCCCAACAGGACATGGACCTGTTGGAGCGTGTCCAGAGGGGGGCCACAAGGATGATCCGAGGGCTGGAGCACCTCTCCTATGAGGAAAGGCTGAGAGAGTTGGGGCTGTTCAGCCTGGAGCAAAGAAGGCTCCAGGGAGATCTTACTGCTGCCTTCCAGTACCTAAAGGGAGCCTACAGGAGGGCTGGAGAAGGACTTTTTGCTAGGGCATGTAGTGATAGGACGAGAGGGAATGCATGTAAACTGGAAGAGGGCAGGTTTAGATTAAACATTAGGAAGAAGTTTTTCACTTTAAGGGTGGTAAGGCACTGGAACAGGCTGCCCAGAGAGGTTGTTGAGGCCCCATCCCTGGAGGTGTTTAAGGCCAGACTGGATGTGGCCTTGGGCAACCTGGTCTAGTGGGAGGTGGCCCTGCCTATGGCAGGGGGGGTGGAACTCGATGATCTTCAAGGTCCCTTCCTCCCTAAACCATTCTATGATTCTATGAAATACCATGTTTTGTTAAATGCTCTTGCTTTTATAACATGGTGCCTCTTCTTTAGCCCCAGTTGTACATCCCGTTTAAAATAAGGTGGCTTTAATAACTGTGCTGTGGAAGTCTCCGTACATAGTTCTGTTTTAACCAGTGAGCTTTTCTCCCTTTCTAAGGCATTAAAAATATCTGTATAAAATAACTGATGTTTTGCGGTCTTTATAAAGCATCAGGCTTGTGTTACAACATTGAAGACAGGTTAATATTTTTTTTCTTACTTAGATTTTAACATCTTAGAAAAGGATGGACCTGGATCATTGTCATGCATATCTGTTTAAACCATAGCAGAATTCATACTAGTGGGAGCTTTGTCAAGAATAAAAAAATGTCTGAAGTTCAACCGGTACCTTTTAGTGAGATGTTCCTGATGAGAACAGCTGTGTGACTCTCAGGTTCCTCATTACCTGGCTTCTGAATATGCTGCTAGCATGACTTTTGGTGTGCTGTTTCTACTTCTTGAAACAAGCTGAATGATGGCAGTTCTCTATATTTATAGAATACAAACCAGGAGGTTTTCTGTCTCTAAGAATGTTATCATCCTCTGCCTTGCATGAATTTTGTTTCATCTGGTACAATTAGAAAATCTTAATGAAAGATTTTCATTAACCTTAATGAAGATTTTCTTAATGAAGGCTGGGCTGGGTATTTACCCATGAATCAGTAACAGTAAAATACACTTTGTGACACTCTGTTCAAAAATTTTCTTACCAATATCAGTTGGATCTAGTGAATTGCAGGCACTAATGAACATAGTAACTGACAATAAAATAAAAATAGCTGTAAAATGACAGTCTGTAAAGTTGTTCTTGTCACAAAAGACTCAAATGAACCACACTGATCCAGGTTATGTTACAGCTATGAATTTATGTTTCTGCAGAATTGTCCTTTGGGGTTTTTTATTTAAATACTTCTAGCCCACTTGATTGGCTAACAGTTTTCTGGATAAGCATCCTGGCCAAATTAACAGAGACAATTAGACTGTTCTTTCTTCTTCCAATACATCTATCTGCTATCTGAGCACTTTCATAAATGTAAAATTAGCATGGAAAGAGACAACAGGGAGAGCAAGGGATTCATATCCTGTGCTGGCCTGCTGTTAACAGGTCAGATAAGCCAAAACAGAATGGAGATAGTGCTCATTTTAATCTCCAAACAAAAAATTAATATTCATGCAAACAAGGTTCTGTAATGCATCCAGAGAGCTTCAAGCTGCCTGTTCTGTGTCTCCATCCCCTCCATTTTCATAGGCAGCTTTTAACTCTGTGTATGCTGCCATGAGAAGCACGTCTAATGAGCCACTGTGCGGGGGGGATGCTGAATATACCTGTGTAGCTACAGTCTGTGCACCGTGTCAAAGACATGGGATGTGAGAGGAGTCACTGAGAGAAAGAATTACAGCATTAGTAAGGAGGCTGGGAAGGTTGTTAGTTGTTGGCTTATGTCTGAATTGAGGAAGTTGGCTTAATGTCTCAAGGATGGATGATCCTTCCAAGCCAGCAAATATCCCCTTTTGAATCCTGCTAAGCACCTAGCCTTGCTAATAGCTTCAGAGGGACAGTTCAGCCACTTATGTATGTGGGTATATATATACAGTATGTGTAGCTAAAAATGTTTGGTTTGCAGTTTTGATGAATTTTGAAAATGGTCCCATTCTTATAGCGTAGTTATAGTGTTACCAACAGTCTTTTACATCAGAAAATAATCAAAGTTTGGATTGGCTTATACAGCCTGAACCTGGTGTTAGAGGAGTTCTTAGCTCAGAGTTAAAGCATCAAAAGGCAGCCCTAGCATCTTGTCTGAGAAGGACAAAGGAAGAAAAAAAAATCACTTGTCTCTTCTCACCCCTCCAGCTTGTGTCAATCTGTAAAGAGAGGTTCCTAGATGACTTTAGGCTGGAAAGGACTCTGAAGGTCATTTAGTCCAGCTGGCTGCTCAGAGCAGGACTAACTTTGGTCAGCGTTGTTCAGGGCCTTGCCTGGTCATGTTTTGCACGTTTCCAAGATGGAGAGTCCACAGCCCCACTGGGCACCTGTTCCAGGGTTTGAATATGCCCACTAGGAAGTTTTTTTTCCTAGACACGATCAGTTTCTAGTGATGAGATAGAAACTGATCCAAACATTTTTTAAAGAAGTGAGACACAACTAATATTCAGATCCTCTGGCCTTAGTGAGTGGGAGGGGGGAATGTGGGAGCCCAGGAATTGTTATTCTTGACTGCAGAAACAGCAGCTGAAAAGTAGGAACAGTTGCCATTCAACATGTGTAAGTGTGTGCGTTGCATCTGGTTGTGTCATTGTATCTGTGTGTGTTGTGTTATTTGTGTCAGGCAATTCCAGGGAGGACAGCCATGCTTGAAAGTGTCATGCTAGCATTGCAAGGGTTGGAGCATGTGTGTATTTAGAGATAGGTATAAAACTTTTTTATTTTTTTAATTGTTTTAGGTTAGGCTTTGTTACCTTCCTCCTATCAGAATAGGGCTCTCTTTACAAAAACTTCCCTTGCAGCGAAATTGGAGCTCTTTGTTTTCTGCTGTGATGTTGCTCTGCATTATCTGAGCTGTTGATAGTGAAGACAAAGCCATAGTAGTTGTGTTAGCAGCATGAGATGGCTGAGTTCCCAGTGTGTTACTACTCTGAGATGTGCTTTAAGCTGCTTTGTATGTGATTCCTCATGGACTAACCGGTTCACATTGAAAGGCTTTAAGCTTGCTTTAAAGTGTTTGTCAATAGGCGTTTGGTTACAGGATTCATTTGGTACTGTGGACTGGTATATCTGTGAAGACAAGTATGCTGTATTTAGGTGTGCCCACTGAGGAAGTTTCATGCATGCGTGTGTGTGGTTATGTGCAAAGTCTTTCTCTCTCTCTTGGATTGCCTTATGGTTGAACATGGATGTTCAGCAATATTTTATCAATTCTGTTGCTGTAGCATCTCATCCTGTCTCTCCTCTTCAGACAGGAAAACTTAAAACTCACGGTCTGGTTCTCATTTTTTGTG